ATATCAATGGTTATTTTGGTTTTTCATCGCGGCACTCGTTTTATGTTACCATGAACACGCGGTATTATACCATTCGTTGTCAGATGGTTTCTGACATTTTCGAAGTGAGTGCGACCAATTCCTAACATATTGAGATACGTTTTCTGACAGAGGGGCGTATTGCGATCTCAATAATAAAACGTTCGCTTATTAGTACGCGTTTTCTTTTTAAGACGTCGGCTGGCAGTTATTTCTCCGCCATTCATTGCTTTCAGTTGGGCCATTAAAAATATGTTTTGTTCAGATCTAGAGAGTGCTTGAAACGCCTCACGTAATTCAGCAAACCTTTCTTTTGGAATTCCTTTTGAGCAACCACATTTGCAACCCATCTCCAAGCAACGTATTGCCTTTTTATATTCGGTAGAACTGTTTATAAATTTCCATATACGGGTATTCCTATATATAAATTTTATTGACTTATGTGTGGGCAATATGCATGTAATTATTTACATCAACAATGAATTTACTCGATGTAATGCTTTTGTTTTTTAAAGCAATGATGAGCAAGTTAATGGATTGGTTATTCAATTACTACGTTTCTATCCTAAGCCTTAGACATTAATTCGATTTTCCTGCTCTTTACTCCACTTTCCACCGGCTTTTGTGCCTCCTCCAATAACCATACAATATGCCCAAGTACCTTTTCTACCTTAACTTGCAAATTTTCATCTTTGTAGACGACAGTCACTGGTTCCGATAGCTTAAACGTTGGCTTTCTCTCATTATCTAGCGAACATTCCATAAAGTACCATTCGGACGCATCGGTAACAATTCCAAACACCCTATCTACATCCTGCCCATTATCGATTTCTTCAGCTTTACGTTTACGTGGCAAAGTTGACTCCATCTGCACAGATGCCTGAGCGAATCCCTTCATAAAGTCTTCTCTTTTAACTTCAATTATACCAAGGATCCTACCAGTTGAACGACATTCTATTGCATAGTCGAGATTGCCCATTTCGACCCTCAATAAGTTTTTCCGGTATAAGTTTGAAATTATCTTTGTAAAACGAGACTCCGGAGGCCAGATAGCAGTAAGAATAAATAGTCTTCGCTGCCTCATTGGCCTTGTTAAGAGGGGTAACATTTTGACGAAGTTTTATTTCTGCCATTAGGTGCTTAATTACAGCCTTGGAGTTATCACTGTTTAAGTCTGCAGAACCACATAAAAAAGGAGGGAATACGTCAATGTCGGGATTTGGGTCACTGCTAATACCATATAGCTGGCACACTTTGGGGAAAGACCAATCTGAGAAAGGTTTTGATGGCGTCTCGATGAATACGGTAAATTTAAGTTTTGTTTTGAAACTAGCGACTGCAACATCTCGCGGAATGAGACATCGTTCCTAGGTAAATATCTATCCCCATCACTCATAAGGTTTAGTACCGCTCCATCGTTCTCAAGCGCTGGCGGTTTGTACAATTCACGTATATAATTTTTGAGATCTTTGAGACTTGCTTGTTCGATATTTACAGTCCACTTATTAGCCTTCTGTTTCGGTTTAACGACGACGTCGAAGTCTGCAATGCAACAGCTTAGCTAGTAAAATCCTTTTTCTCAGGCAGCGATTTGATGAGGTATTACCTCGTTTTTTATTTCAGCCAGGAGCTTCGGCCAAAATATAACCAAAATTTATACATACCATGTGTGGACTTGCTGAGTTTCTCCTTCAACGAGGTGACTTCCTCAAGTAACTCCTGTTCACGGCTTGAGGCGGCGGCGGTCTCTGGCGGTTTGACTAAGACGTGAATATGCTTCTTGGGTAGCTTCGACGTCCAGTATTCACTAATTTCATTTGCCCCTAACAGCTCATCGTTATCATTGAGTGAGAGACTGCTTAAGAGATCGTCGCGACCGCTAAGAATTTCTACTTTCCAAAGCTTGAGCTTGTGTGCGTCTATACCAACAAAGTCATTTTGGTCTTTCTTCTTTATAGTCTCCTTGAGGTGACTAATCAGCTTTCCACTATCAATTTCGACGGCGAAAGCATTTGCGGTCCTATTTCCTTTGACTAGACAGAATAAAGTGATAGGCATAACGGCTTATGAAACAATTCTAGGTTGTTTTTTTTTTCAATTTTAGTAATGAGTTAATTCGAAACCTACACTTTCCAACAAACCTCCTTTAGTTTGCAGAATATACTACATAATAATTGCCGCTATTGGCGATACATACATGCTTGCTTGTTTTTAACTAAATTTATATATACAGATTGCGGAATTTTGGACCACTCCAGTAAAGTATTTTTGAAGCTGACGTTCCAGTACTGGCAAAGTTTTAATCTTCTTTGCCACAATCCATTTTTGAACCTATGAATCGGCGTATTGTCTTGTTGAAACAAATAACCTTTTCCATTATGTTTAGTAGCAACAAGATAACGATCTCAAGTATACTAGCCGTGTCGCTAAGGCGTTTCCCATCAATGTTCCAGAAAAAATGAATTGGCCATCCAACAGTCCGGATTTGAATCCAATTGAGAATCTCTGGAACATTGTAAAAACCAGAGTAGAGAAGTGCATGCCAAAAAACATTAGTGAATTAGAGACATTTATGGTGGAGAATATTTCTGACACTGTTCTAATTAATCTTGTAGAATCAATAAAGAACGTTGCGAATTGATTATTGCTAATAATGGAGAACGTATACCATATTTTAAATATATATCAATAAAATCTGTTGCTTTCTAGCTTCCAAACAAGTCTTTATTTCGTTTATTCGTTAAGGCATAACAGCGAAAATTTTCATTCTCTTTTTTTTTTTTTTTTTTTTTTTTTTTTTTTTTTTTTTTTTTTACACCCCCTTTTTTTACAAACCCCCTTTTTTCCCACCAACCCACTTATTTTTTGGATTTTTTCAA